TATACCCCGCCCTTCACTTGGAGTCTGAGAGCGGCTTACAAACTCCTTTCCCTTCCCCTCCCCACAACAGACACCCTATGAGGTGGGGGGGGCTGAGAGAACTCTGACACAAACTGCTCTTTTTCGAGGACAGCTGTGCCAGAGCTCGTGACTGACCCAAGGTCACACCAGCAGGTGCAAGTGGAGGAGTGGGGAATCAAACTCGGTTCTCCCAGATTAGAGTCCGCACACTTAACCACCATTTGCACGAAGGATGCAACCTCAGCCAAAGGATGCCACACCTGCGCCATTGGTTCCGACTGCAGAAACAGGGCTTTGCGGTGGCAGAATTTACGATTCCTGCAAGCTCTGGAACATGGTGACTCAGATGAGTTCAGAGCGACCGAGACGCAGCGTTTCCCCCACCTTTTCTCTTAGCCCACAACGCCCAAATCCTCTTTCGCAGCCTCTAGTATTTGTCAGCTGTACAGGGTAGCTTCCTCCAGTCGGCTGCGGCGCTGTTTAGTGCTAATCCGTCAGTGTTTGAAAGAGACATGATGATGTGCAGTCTTCTTTCGGTCACCAAATCCAGCTCCTGGTCTAACTTTAGGACAGTGTAGGGATTCTGGTGTTTGGTGTGCTCATGCAGGGTCCTGGAAACCCAACCCCCCCCCCCCCCGTCCCCCCCCAAAAACCCCACCCCCCCCCCCCCCAAGTCACACTACACAAGCAACCTTGGCTAAGAAGCTCTACAGCATCGAATCACAGAGTTGGAAGGGGCCCTATAGGCCATCTAGTCCAACCCCCCAGGATCAGCCTAGAGCACCCCAGACGCTGCTGCTTCAAGACTGCCAGGGAGGGGGAGCTCACCACCTCCCCGGGCAGCTGATTCCACTGTTGCACAACTCTGACTGTGAAGACGTTTTCCCTAATATCCAGCCGGTAGTTTCCCGCCTTTAATTTGAACCCATTCTTGCGAGTCCTCTCCTCTGCTGCCAACAGGAACAGCTCCCTGCCCTCCTCTAAGCAACAGCCCTTCAAAGGGAGCAATCATGGCCCCCCTCAACCCCCTCCTCTTCCCCAGACTGAACATTCCCCAGTCCCTCAGCCTCTCCTCACAGGGCTCGGTTTCCAGCCTTTCCGAGGCCACCGGCACCTTTGGAATTCTGGCACAGGGTAGTGGGCACAACCGTGAAAGCCACAAAACGTCAGGGAGTGAGGCTATGCATAACTCGGAGAGTAACATCTTGATATTTTAGGCAGAAGTTCTGCTTAACAAGATGCCCTTTTGAATGAAAATATCTTCTTGCGTGCACGCACCTTGTCCCCCGGCACACAGTGAAGATCCTTGGGCTGTGAGGGCAGTTGCTGCCAAAGCAACCTTTTTAAAGACTGGCAGAGTCAATCAGATTTCCAGTGGCCAGTCGGAAAACATGCTGCACAAAAGTCTCACCTGGCTCCGCCAGCTTCCTACAAACAGCTGGCATGATGACAGCGGGCACCATGGCGCCCGAGGGCACCACGTTGGGGACCCCAGCCCTGCAGGGCCACTGCTGCCGGCAAGCCCACAGTAGGGTGAATGAAGCCAAAGGAAAGGGGGAGGTCGTAGGGGTCTCGTGGGACTGCGGGAAAAGCCCGAAGCTCCCTTTCCTCCAGTCTGCCCCTTCCCTCGAAAAGTCGGGCAAGGACTTCAAATGAGGCTGCAGAGCCCCGCCCATCACACAACCGACCAATCGCGGCCTGTGAGTCTCACAGGCCTAAGTTACCTTTTCTAACCGTTCTGGGCTCGGCATCGGGAGCCTCTGCCGCTTCGCTTCTTGCTCCAAGGTCAAGAGCATGTTCCGCTCTTTGAGGAGAACGTACCTAGGGCAAAGAGGCAACGTCAATAAGGAACGTCAGGTCAGCACGGTGAGCATCTGTGCCCGAGAGCATCGGCAGAGTGGTGTGGTGAGTTAAGAACATAAGAGATGCCAATGTTGGATTAGGCCAAAGGCCCATCCAGTCCAACACTCTGTATCACACAGTGGCCAGAAATGCCAGTGCCATCAGGAGGTCCACTAGTGGGGCCAGGACATTAGAAGCCCTCCCACTGTTGACCCCAAGCACCAAGATGACCGAGCATCACTTGCCCCAGAGTCCCTGTCTATACCTTGTGGCTAATAGCCACTGATCGACCTCTGCAGGGCTCTTTTTGTAGAAAAAGCCCAGCAGGAACTCATTAGCATAATAGGCCACACCCAACAACAGGAACTCATTAGCCTATTAGGCCACACCCCTGACAGCACAGCTCATTCGCACATGAGGCCGCACCCCCCGTGTTACCAGAAGTGTGGTCATCCAGCCACACCCACCTTTTGCTTCTTATTCTGTTTACCTTGTTTGTTGTCAAAACCCAGGGCCTTTTTTTCTAGCAGAGACTCCTTTGCATGTTAGGCCACACACCCCTACTGTAGCCAATCGTAATGAGTTCCTGCTGGGCGTGGCCAACTCGGGAGCCAGCCGGAACGCCGTTCCTGTGCGTTCCTGCCCAGAAATAGCCCTGGTTCTCTGCAAAGGAACATCGTCTGTATATTGACTGACGGAAGCGCGTTACGCTGCCCCCTCTGGATGCTTCCGAGACCACAACAACTGGCAGCCACTTCCAATCGATAAGTGAAATGAACCCTTTCTCCTTGGCCCTCGAGGCCCCGTTCAGGCCCCAGGGCTACGGAAACCACAACGGGGAGAATTCTGGCTGGGCCCACACTCCGGACACAGCGGCCCCACAGCCTCAGCGGCTCCCTCCCCTGCCTGCCCACCCTCTTGACAGCACACAGCCCCTCCCCTGTCTCCAGACACTGTGCTCAGTTTTGCTCCGGCCCAGCTTTCTCCTTGGTGTCCCCTTCCCAAGCCTAAACCCCCACGCTCCCCCCCCCCAGGCTCTTGTTTTTTAGAACACGCTGTCCCACTTTCTTATCTCCTGAATGGCCCCTTAGCACACCCGCATTCAGCCCTGCCTCATTCTGTGCTGTTTCTTTGTCTCACGCGCATACCTGTCACTGCCTCAGTTCCACCTCTCCTCTAGCCTTTCTCTCCCCCATCGGGCTCTCCTTTCCCCACTCATCGCCTCCTGTGCTCCCGCCTCCTACTTCCTTGCCTCTGGGTTTCTCATCCCTGCATCTCCCTGCATTCCAGGATTTCCAAGGCCTCGGCCAGGCCCTGTGTAAGGCTTCAGCTCCCTCCAAACTTAACTTTCCACTCCCTCACAGAAGTCAGACCGCAAAACTTTTCGCTCCCTTAGCAAATTAAGGTATCTCCTAGAGATGACAACTGCCCAGCCAATCTGTTTTCAGAGGCAGCACGACCACAAGTGAAACATCATACAGATTTGGAGACTTGCTATGGAGTGCCAGCACCTCTGGGCAGCCCCTTGCAGACAAGTGGACAGGCCCGTAGCCAGGATTTTGTGGCTTGTGGAGCAGGTTTTTTTTCCTGGTGGGGCTGAAGTTCTCAGAGCAGAAAGAAAAGCCATTTGGCCAATAGAAAGCTGTTACCAAGACAGATCTCTACATTGCAAGCTGTCGACCACTTCAGATGACAGTTCTCAGCTGCTGCAAGTGAATCACTTCCGCCAGCCTAAGCAACAGTTCTGATAGCCGGCAGGTACGGGTGATGACTTCCATAGTCAAGAAAGCTAACCCTTAGGCAGAAAAACTCTCTTAAAAGAGACCAGCTTCTTGACACAGAGTTAGAAGGGACCCTAGAGGTCACCAACCCCCTTGCTCAGTGCAGGAATTAGTCAACTACAGCACTCCACTCTGCTTAAAGGAGAGCACACCTTTAAAAAATGTTTAAAAATGACTGAAAAAAGCATTTACAGGAGAAATTCTTGTGGGGCTGTGCCTTTAAGAGGGCAGAGCCCTCAAAAGCCCCATCCAACGGGCCTGTAAGTGGAGTCCTCTGAAAGAGACAGGAGCTCTTACTCAAAAAATTACTCACCAAAGTTTATGCAGATCTTCACTGCTCTTGCCTCGGAGCTGTTCTACTGTCCAAGAATCTCCTGCAGAAAGCACAGAGCGCACCAGAAGGTGAACAGAGATCAGGAAGGTATTTTCGTGGGCTCTAAGGTTGGCCATTCATAATCTACACTGGATCTATGGCAATAACAGCCATTTGAGGAATCCTTCGAAGGCTTTCCCTTGTATGTCTTGAACCCTGGAATCCATGGCTCTGCGGCCATCTATACGCCTTCGTTAAATCCAAGCCAGGTAACCAAGGAAAACCAGTTCCTATGCCCAAATTAAAAGATACAAATCAATAACAAATGTGCAGAATTGTTACTTTTACCAAGTATAACCAAGTTGAGATTAAAAAGAGAGAGAAGAGCACACACCAATCCAAGATACGTTTGAGCCACTCCGAGCAGCATAACATTTTTCTAAATAAATAAAATGTGCTCAAGTTGTCTCAGGTGTCAAAATGGAACTGGCATATGATTGCCTTGATAAGACTTAGTAGCCTGCCCAGAGCTCTGCGGGAATCCAAGTGCACTGATTCTACATTCAGAATTTTGGAAATTAAGTTCATCGTAAGAACATAAGAAGAGCCCTGCTGGATCAGACCAGTGGTCCATCTAGTCCCACATCCTGTCGCACACAGTGGCCAACCAGTTCCTCTGGACGGCTGACAACGGGGCACAAAGGCCGAGGCCTTCCCCTGATGTTGCCTCCTGGCTCTGGGATTCAGAGGACTAGTGCCTCTGAGTGTGGAGGTTCCCTTCAGTCACCATGGCTAGGAGCCACTGATAGATCCCTCTTTCATGAATCTGTCCAATCCCCTTTTGAAGCCATCTATGCTTGTAGCTACCACTACATCCTCTGGCAGCGAATTCCACATTTTAATCACTCTCTGTGTAAAGAAGTATACGTAGATGTTATTATTTTGCTGTTTTATTCTACTTTCAACAAAGAATTACTTCCAAAGAATTTGAAATGATTTTGGAGCATCATGAGAGAGCCTGAGATCAGAAACAAGAGACGAGACGGAAAATGGCAGCAGGGGGCACCAAAGCCTCATTTAGTGGCCACTGTAATCACAGGTTCTTAATTTTCACCAGTCACTGCCCCCTGCGTAGGTAAGAGGGGTTAAGTTGCAGCCAATTTACGTTGTCCCCAGCCACTGCCTTCCTCGGTGTTCTCCCACTCGAGTACTGACCCTGCTTAGCTTCCAAGATCTGATAAGATCGGGCTATACCATGCCCCCTCCCCCTCCCAGTATTTCCAAGCTCTGCTTTGCATCCATGGGGGGGGGGGAGGTGTCTACATTTGCTCTAGAAACTCTTATGCAAAATACTAAACTGTGTGCCAAAACAGCAATTCTGCAGGTACAAGGGAAAGACACAAACCTACATATAACAGGCTTAAACACTGCAGCAGGCTTAAACACTACTATTCACTGCCATCGTCTGTCCACAGTCTCAGGAAGGGGTTTTTTTGTACATCACCTAATACTGATCCTTGTCACTGGCAATGCTCCCTCTAAGCTGTGGAGTCTTGTGAGCAAACATTCTACTTTGTGAGCTACCGGCATGAAAGTTGTGAGCGAGCGATTTGGCTGTTGCACACATTAGTTTGCGCTGGAGCCATCCTTCCTGAGCCAAGGCAAAAATGTGTGAGCCAGAGGCTAAAAAACAGTGAGCTAGCTCACACTAACTCAACTTAGCGGGAACCCTGGTCACTGGTGGAGACCTACCATGTGCCAAGCTGATACTCCACCACCAAGCAACAGTCCAGTCGAGGGACCAAAAGGGACAAGATCCAGCCCCTCTTACCAGACTTGATTTCTGTCTCTCCCCAGTTTTTTGGATCATCAAAAAACTCCTCCAGCCCTTTCAGTGGGAACGAAACGTGCAACGACGCACAGGGAGGGAACAGCTCCGCTTTCGCCGCCTCCTTCTGCAGAACATGGCGGGTTAATCTAGAGGGCAAGATAAGAGAAGCGTCTGAGAAAGCCAAACGAGTCCCAGTCGGTGTCCAGCCGAGCTTCCCAAACCAACACTTGGGGGCAGGCTGCAGGTTTTTCTTTTCTTTTCAAATAGCATTTTTATTGAGTTTTATATATTTTTACACCCTGCATTACTTGTTAGTTGCATACAGTATCTTTCGACAACATCTAATGAACAAGGAGAGAAATGTTATCCCCACACGCACAATACTTGTTAATAAAACACAAAGTCTCTATATTTCTGAGGTGGTGCATATAATCGGGGTTGACAAGCAGTAAGATATTCAAAAAACACAAACCATTTTTCAAAAAAAGTATTAACACCTTTCGGGTTGTCAAAAGCTATTAATTGCATAGCGATTTTATCTGAAACTATCAAGTCCCATAGTTTAGATCTCCATTGTGACAGATTTGGTACCTTAAACAATTTCCAATTTAAAGCAATTAAGTTTTTGGCTGCAGGTCTTTCCTCCCCCGGGGCTCCACAATGCCAAATGCACCCCGCCGCATTCCCTGCCCCGAACAGTGCCTGTTGCCGCAACACAGAGCAACCCCCACCGCTCCCTCGACTTCTTCTGTGCCCACCTGGACGACGCGGCTCCGGCCAGCCGCAGGACCCCCGAGAAGCGCCGGCAGAGCGCAGCCACCGCCATGACACCGCCTCTATCCCACAATGCTCAGCTGCGATAGCTCGCCATGACAACCCTTCTCCTTCGCTTCCCACAATGCCTCTCGCTGTAATCGCCCCCCCTCCAGCGCCAGCCCGTTTCTAAGATGGCGCCGGTGGCGGCTTCCTCCCCACCGTCCCGCTCCTGCTCTGCCAAACTCAATCATGGCGGCCGCAAGTGCCCATTTCCGAAATGGCGCCCGTGCGGCTTCAGCCGTATTCGAGGCCGAACGAGCCCGGGGACCTCCCCCTCGCCCGCCAGATTCGGGCATGGCGGCCATGAGCCTCTTGCTGCGGGCCGCGGTCGCTTTGGGGTCCCGGCGGCCCCTGGCTTGCTCAGCGGTCTGGGGTCGCGCCCCCCTGCTGGGCAGGGCTATCAGTCGCTCTGGAGTCATCGGTATGCGGGGGGAAGGCCGTGGTGGGGACCCGCTGCGGGTTGACCTTGAGAGGAGAAGGGGAGGTTGATATTGTTGTCGGCTCTCTTCCTGGCAGGGTTCTTGTGCCTTTAAGAAACACGCCGCAGGTAGAAACTCAACGGGTGAAGCCGTTCTTGCTACGTCTCACCTGGTGGATTTCTGCCTGCCCTGCCGCTCCATTGAAAGGATGGAAGTTTTGTGTCGCCTGGGGGTGGAAGCAAAGGCGCTGGCTCTGCTTAGGGGCAGGGGGCTGAAGCCTTGAATGGGGGAAGCCAGCACGGCAGCTCTAGCCAAGGGCTTTCATGTCAGAACTGCTCCTGAGCTCCAGTGGAGAAATGCAAGCTAAGAAATTGTGTCCATTCCAGTTGAGTTTGGCCTCCAGCAGTGGGCTGCTGCTCACAGTGGCAGGTAGCAGGGCCAGGGGCCAAGACAGCCCTGTAGCTAGGGGATTTTTGGGGAGGGGGCCGGGTGGGGGCCGCCAGCTAATAAAATCAAAGTTAATTAAATTACGGGGCCTGGAGCTCCCTGCTGGTGCCCGCTGGAGGTCACCGCCGGCTGTGGGGAGGACACACTTCTGGTGATGTCAGGGGGTGTGGCATATGCTAATGAGTTATGCTAATGAGTCCCCCTAGCTCTTTTTCTACGAAATGACCCCTGCTCATAGCATTCAGTTTTCTGACAGGCAAGTCAGAGGTGGTGAGTTGAGGCACTTTGGGGCCAGCCTGGGAGGGAGGGGCCCAGAAGAAATGCTAGGGGGGCGGGCCCCATGGACCCCACATTAGCTACAGGCCTGGGCCAAGACCTGTTCCGAAGGCATCATGAAGGGCTGCTTGTCACCATCAAAAGCTAGTATGGTGCAGGGGTTAGAGCATTCATCCCAACGGGGTGCCATGATGCCCTCGGATGCATTTTATGGCACCCACTTTTCCCTTCCCTAAATCAAAGAGCCAGTCCTGGCTTGCCTTCATCTCACTAGAGCCGGAGAGGCTTCTGGAGAAGCCAGGAAACGTCACTTTCATGTCTGCAGGTGGCACCCGTTTGGAAATGGCTGCCTCCATCATAGGGCTTGCAGCCTGCTAATGTTTGTGTGACTGGATCCAGGACTCATGGCGGTCATTTTAATTGAGTGCCCACTGCTTGTTCTCAAAATACCATAAATGCTTGCAGGTTCAATAGCATTGGAGACTCCTGTGTTAGAGTGTCCACTTAGGACCAGGGTTCAAATCCCAACTCAACCATAAATTTCTCTGTATGACCGTCGGCCAGGTATTCCCTCTTGGCCTAAGATGCCTTCCGAGGTTGTCATGAAGATAAAATGGAGCATGCCACCTTGAGCACCTTGGAAGAAAGGCAAGATCTAAACAAAACAGGTTGCTGAGGCAAACAAGGGATTAATTTGAGTTGTGTTGGAACCAGTTTTTTCAGAGCTAAACCTTGTAGTCTGCAGAGCAATTGCAAAAAAGAAGGTCTTCCCCCCCCTACCATGCAGGGTATCTATATGTTGTGTCCAATGCTAGAGCAGAAAGTTGTAGTACTAGAATTATAGAGTTAGAAGGGGCCATACAGGCCGTCTAGTCCAACTCCCTGCTCAGTGCAGGATCAGCCTAGAGCATCCCTGACAAATGTTTGTCCAGCCGCTGCTTCAAGACTGCCAGTGAGGGGGAACTCACCACCTCCTGAGACAGCTGAGTCCACTGCTGAACTAGTCTTACTGTAAAAACAAATCTCTAATATCCAACCAGTACCTTTCCACCATGGTTTTCCAAGTCCAATCCTCTGCTGCCAGCAGGAACAGCTTTCTGCCTTCCTCTAAGTGACAGCCCTTCAAATACTCGAAGAGTATCCTCAGAGTGAGTTTGTGAGAAGTGGAAATGTTTATGCCTGCGATCCAGTGAATATAGAAAGAGCGATCAGCTGACTTCAGTTATCCATGTGGGAACGGAGTAAAGGATGCTTCACCTTATTAAGATTACAGGTGCTGTAATTTTGCTACGCAACAGCCAGTATGCTGCCAGTTAGAGGACTGGGTACGTGGTGGATGTGGGAAAGCCACCTTCAATTCTTTTTTTTTTTACATTTTATTAGGATATAATAAACAAAGTCAAACATAAGTCACAAACTTTTATACTTATACATCCTCCCCCCCCCCCCCCCACAGTGCTCCAACCTCCTGCTTCTGCTCCAACCTCCTGCTCATTACTTAGATCATCTTCATCCCACCCTTCTATTTTTTCTTCTTCACATATCCATAGGTAACTTCTCCCTCCATTTTTGTTTCTATATCCTAATCTATTTTTTTAATATCTGTTAACTTTCAATAATTGTCAAAGCTAAATAAACTATCCCTCACATCCCAATTCTTTTCCAGATAGTCTTTAAAGTCTTTCCAGTCTGCAATGAAGTCTTCTGCTTCCAAATTGTTAAGTTTCCTTGTCAATTTGTCCATTTCAACCATAAAAAGTAATTTCTTGATCCAGTCCCCAACTTCAGGCACTTTATCCTGCTTCCAACATTGAGCATATGCCATTCTGGCAGTTGTGATCATGTACCACATCCATGTCCTTTTTGCCACATTAACTTCCTCCATTTTAAGTCCCAAAAGTAGTATTTCCGGTTCTTTCTTAAATTTACATTTTACAATTTTTTCCATTGCGGCATGTATCTCAGCCCAATACCATTTTGCTTTTTTGCAGGTCCACCACATATGATAAAACGAGCCCTCTACCTTTTTACACTTCCAACATTTGTTTGACATATTACTATTCATATTAGCAATCTTGAAAGCCACCTTCAATTCTTGCTCAGCCTGCAGCTTACTGGGTAGCTTTGGAGAGCCCTCAGCCTCATAAGGTTGTTGTGAACCTTAAAACGAGCTTTTCTTTGTTTTTCAGGGAATGAATGGAACATATAAGTGATAATGAGAATGAATGAATGAAGAGAGAGGGGTCAGGTTGCCATCACACAGCTGCAGTGTCCCCACTGGAAAAAATTAAAAAATTGGTTGGACAATGAGGCTGAACTCATAGAACGTGTTCGGACAAGGCTAGGTTTGCCTGCTTCAGATTGGGAAATACCTGGAGATTTTGGGGAGTCCGAGGAGAGCAGGATTTTGGGAGGGAAGGGACTTCGATGTGGTATATTGCCATAGATGCCACCTTTCAAAGCGGCCATTTTCTCCAGGTGAACTGAAGATCGGCTGTAATCCTAGGAGATCTCCAGCCACCATCTGGAGGTTGGGAATCGTAGCAAAGGCCTGAGTGGGCAAGTGCTGATTTGTACTAACGCTCTGACTTAATTTGGCAGCTCCAGTCCGCCACAGCAGCAGTCATGGGAAAAGAATGTTCGTCATCAAGGCAACAGAGTTCTACGATAAGCGATTCTTGCGCTTGTTGGTGAGCTTAAACTGTTTGTTTTTTTAATCATGTCATGTCATGCGAGACGTTTTGACTATAAATAGTATTCTCTTAGTTCTTATGGATTTTCCGGGCTGTGTGGCCGTCGTCTTGGCATTGTAGGACCTGACGTTTCGCCAGCAGCTGTGACTGGCATCCTCAGAGATATAACACAGAAAGATGGA